GGGCGGGCGCCTGGGCCTCAGACTCCACCCGGGTGACCGAGTTGGACCCCTGTGCTTTCTGGATTTCACCTGAGAGCTGCTGGGCCAGATGCCATGCAGTGGGATATAGTGGTGAGTGAAGGAGGGTGAGCAGGACCTGGACGCAGGAGCAGACAGGCCTGACGGAGCCATATGAGTGGCTAAGTGGGCACAGGGAACCAGGAAGGATGGATAATCGAGAAGGACAGACCATCCAACTCCTTTTCTGAAGATTTGGAATGAATTACAGAATTTAGTTTGGCAACAGGTATGCCGCCTGTTCATGGCTCAGGCAAGGAGGCTCTGATGCTAAAAGGAAAACAAGTCAGTACAGCCCTCACGCCCCGTGTTAAGCCCTGGGGAGGGGCTGGCAGCCAGCACAGGACCGTCCACCAAGCACAGAGCCAGAGGTGCTGGCGGGGAATGGAGGGCTGAGCACTCCTGCCCGGTGTCCAGTGCCCAGCTCCGAGGGGCAGGCAGCACTCCCATCTCCCTGCTCTGGCCGCCAGGAGGAAGCTCTCACTTTCGGCTGAGGCCAACAGAAGGAACAAGAAGAAGGCCTTTGTCTCCTCCGCTGAGCTCCAGGGTGGCAGCTTTGTGGGCTGGGTTGGCCTGGGCAGGGGAAGGCCCAGAGAAGGACAGTGGGCTATGGCATGTCTGACCCTGTGTGTCCCACCCACAGATGCGCTGCTGTGGCGTCACCGACTACACAGACTGGTACCCGGTGCTGGGCGAGAATACGGTCCCCGACCGGTGCTGCATGGAGAACTCCCAGGGCTGTGGACGCAACAGTACCACCCCCCTGTGGCGAACGGTGAGGCCTGAGGCCACTTCCCCTGCTCCTCCTCCCAGGAGCCTGTGCGGTGGATGGTCTGGCAGGAGAACACCAAGGAGTCGGCTTCACATGGGGTGGGGAGCACACAGGACTGAAGTCAAAAGGCGGGGGGCAAATGGGGGGCCTGGACCCACAGCTGGGAGCGTCAGGGGGTGGGAGGGTGAATGGGGTCTGAGGCCGTGCAGTGGGGTCTCGTGGGTGGAACCATGGGCAGGACAGGGCCGCTCAAAGGCAGGAGGGCCAGGCTGAGGGTCAGGGAGGGACAGGAGGAAAGCGCAGGGATGGGGCTGGAGGGACTTGTCGTCACGCTGGGCCTTAACCTTGGGGTCCTTGATCCCTAGGGCTGCTATGAGAAGGTGAAGATGTGGTTTGATGACAACAAGCATGTGCTTGGCACGGTGGGAATGTGCGTCCTTATCATGCAGGTGAGAGGGCCCCCGAGCCTCGCTGCACCCCAGCTGGAAAACACACCAGAGGCCAACTCACTGCCCGAGGCAGCCTGACGGCCGTGAGGTTACCTGCTCCGCCCACCCTGAGGCCTCTCTTTCCATGCTGGTTCCAACCCTGCAGGCGCCATAGGGCACTGCTTCCTCGCATTCCATTTGAGCCCCGGGCCTGGTGCCGGCACTGTGTGGAGCCCCCGAGTGGGTTTCCTGGAACACACCTGTCCCCATTCCAGATGGACCTTTATCTGTGACTGAACTGAGTGAAATCCGAGTCCTCAGTAATGATTGTGAGCACGGGCTCCTGAGCCAGACTCCACAGGTGTCAGTCCTGGCTTCACCGTCCACTAGATATATGTGACCTAGGCACGTTGCTTAGCTTCTGTGCCTTAATTTCCACATCAGTATAATGGGCACGACCATCATGTCACTTCTTAGCCTGAAGTGAGTCTAACAGGACAAAGAGCAGTGCCAGGCACATAGGAAGTGTCCCGTCAATGTTAGCTTTCATGAGCAAGCACTTAATGACAGTCGTTCTGTGTAAGGCCTAGCATAGATGATGGAGAGGGCAGAAGAGGGGTGATCCTTGCCTCCTGTCTTGAATTTGAGGCTGACACAGCTGGCCAGGCGCAAGAGCCCCCCGACCTTTCTGGGGGTGAGCGTTTCCTGGGCTCCCTCCTTTGCCCACTTCTGCGTGGCTCTTACTCCTGGTTAGCAGGAGTCTTCAGTGCCTGACTCCTCTCAGAGCACTTGAACTTGATCGGTTGGTCCATGGGAAGATGGTCGACATCCTGCATGAAGTTATCCTTTTTTCCCTACACTCTTGGACCTGGGGGTCTGATTGTTTCTGATCTGTCTTAGCGCTTATGAGCTTAGCAGGCGAGCCCACTGTCGTTACAGAGCTCGGATGTGAGATGCGCTCACAGAGAGCAAGGTTCTGTTTCATATGGAGACTGGGGCTCATCTCAGGTCTGCCTGTGCTCAGGCCTGGGCCTGGACCAGGACACCGGAGCCCGGCTCACCAGCCACCGTCTCCTCTCCTCCTCTATGCCTAAACCTTAAGGGCAAGAGCTGTGAGAGGCACCGTGTCACCTGCTCTACGGCCTGTGCGCATGGCACACTATCGGTGGTGACTGTGGGGCCACAGGCTGGCTTCCTCCTGCCTCCGGCACTGCTCTGGGCCACCACCCCCTATCAGGATTCAGGAGTTGAGGGAACACAAACAAGCATTAATGTTGTACTCCGGCCAAAGACATCACGTCATGTATTCCAGAACCAAACAGAAATGACTCAGAGCATGAGTTTTCATGTTCCTGGCACCTTCCTCTCCCCGTCCTCACTTCCTTATTAGCTACCATTTAGGGTCAGGTGCTTGGTGCATTGAGGCCTTACTACAGTGCTCCGAAGTAGGCAGGTTACCACGCCTCGGAGAGGTTCGATGACCTTCTGTACAGACAGCTCTGAGGGGGCCGGGCTCATCTGTGCGGCCCTGAGCTCATCACCGGGTGCCCTCCTCTGTTCACCATTGTCTTCACTCCAGCAGCATTTTTCTAGCACACAAGTGGTTGTATGGCTTGCTCTGGGGGGGCTGTCAGACCCCAGCTGTGGGGCGTCTGTCTAAGGCCTTTTCCCCATGTCTTTCAGATTCTGGGCATGGCCTTCTCTATGACCCTCTTCCAGCACATCCACCGGACTGGGAAAAAGTATGATGCCTGAGCGTCTGACGGGAGTCCCAGCCCCCACGTGGACACTGTGCCAGAGAAGAAGATTTGAGCTTTGTGTTGCCTGCCCGCACTCCAGACTGCTGACCCCTGCTCCCCCACCCCCAGCCGTCCTCCCCACCCACCCTGCCTCAGCCTTTTTGGGGTGGAGGGCCAGGGAGGAGGAGGCGCGGAGACCTTGGGGGTGCTGGGGCGCCTGGATTCCTGCATCTGTGTATTTGCCAAAGAAGACAGGGTGGGCCAGGGGATATGATCCAGGAGGCCCCAGCACTGATGGCATTGACCCTGCCCTTCCCCACGTGGGGGTGCAGCAGACTGCTCCCTCCTGATGGAGAGACTGCCCAGCGGAGGCCACCCTGTGTGAGAGTGGGAGAGACCGCCTCTGGCCAAGCCCCAGGGAGCACCTTGCCCAGGCTTTTTATACCTTACAGTGTAACTTTTTTATTTTATTTTACTCTGATTATGATTATTCAGGAATATTATCTCAGATAAGTTTAGGGTTAGCTTTCTGATTTATAACTTTTTACTGCTTTGATTTCTGTAACGGTTTGATTTTTTTTGTTTTTCCTGAGGGTGGGAGATGGGTGGGGAGAGAGGATGTCTGTGGGTTTCAATCAGGACAAACCACTGTGCAATCCTCAGGAGGCTCTCGGGTGGGGTGCGCCGGCCAGCATTTGGGTAGCACTGAAAGGAGGGCCTGGCCAGGACTGCTGTCCGTGGCCCAGTGTCTGTGGCCCAGAAGCCTGAAAGAGGAGGTGAAATGGAGGCGCAGGAAGCAATGTGGGGGATGCCTGCATGGGAGCAGCGTGTTTGCTAATAGTGCTGGTGCAAGAGGCCAGAGCATGGGGGCTCCTGAGGGCTGGCGAAGTGCTCTGCCAGGAACATGGCTGAAGCCGTCGTGGGTCCTTACACTTCACTGATGAGCAGTTGTTTTTCCTTCCTTCCTCCTTCCTCCTGCTGCTGCTGGAACGGAGGCTCCCCCCTGCCACCCCATCCCTCCCCCACGCGGGCCTTCCCGCATCAGGTTCTGCAAACCCCAGCGATTTCACAGACATTCCTGCTAGAAACTCTCGGACACATACCTCTCTAGTTCAGCTGCTGCTCACTTTCTCACATTGCTTCTGGAAGGGGACGCAGTCCTTACATGTTGCTGCTCAGACAGTGGCAGAGGACCCATGACAGTCAGGAGAGGCAGGTAGAAATGGTGCCCTTGATCATTCCAGCCCGATTCACCAGGCTGCTGATTCCCAGCTGGGAGGGAGGGAGAGATGTCCATCCGGGTCCCAGGACCCTCCTCTCCTTCCTCGGGGGCTCATTGATGCTGGGGTGGGTGACAGTCATGTCCGTCCTCTAGGACCCCAAGGAAAAGTGCATAAAACCGAGACAGGTCAGATTGGATCCTGTTAAGTAGCCCAGGATGAAAGCAGGGTGAGTTAGGACCTGGGAGGTGAGCAGTCGGGTAGGGCATTTGACTGTAGCGGGGCACCCCACCAGAACTTCTGCTGGTCTAAGCTAGCGTTTTGCAGTTAAAGAAAAAAGTCAAGAATCCATGGGATGAAGCTTGAAACGTTTCCCCACAAGCTAGCTAGGATCCGATGCACTTCTGCAGGTGGGGCCTTGCATGGGGAGGCTGCCTTTTTTTAACACTATTTGACTCTGATACCTTGGCTTCCCACTGGGCCCGCGTCTCCTTTCCAGCCTCTACCTATCTGTTCCAAGAGCTGAGACCTGGCCATGCAGCCAGCAACTCCTCTGCTCACCTTAAATGCAGTGCAGTGGGGACTAGAGCACAGAACCTTTGGTGAGCTCAGGATTCTCGTTTTTGCAGGATAAGGAGTAGAGAGTAGGGTGGCCTCAGTGGGCTGGGCAGAGTGAAGTTGCCTTCCTGGAATGGGAGCACTGGTGCTGATGTGAAAGCTGGGAAGGTGGGGCCTTGGGTGGAGGATGGGCGAGCAAACACACGAGCAGAACTGCCTTCTGGGTCCTTTGGCCCATCTTCCTGGTAAGGCGCTTCAGCCAACCTCCCCGGGAACCCTAACCTGCAGAGCTCAGAGCAGACAGACTTGCCACCACCATGCCACTGAGGAGAGACACTCAGCAAACAAGCATTCAAGGCGCACAGTGGGACCTAGCGCATAATGAGTTTATGCTGGGGGTGGGGGTGGGGCGGGTTTGTTTATGCCTATCAATGCAATTTTTAATTTTTGTTAAAATCCGCAGCAAAAGCCTAGCACCTTGGGGGGTGTGCAGCCTCCCCGGAGCTTCAGGGGCATCCTCTGGCCCTGGAGCCCTTGCCACAGTCCGCCCTCCTGCCAGTCCCCCACCTCATCCATCTGTTCACAGAGCCTTGTCCACAGTTCCCAAACTGCCTTTTTGCCTCCCCTTCTGCTTGATTGTTCCGTCATCTGGTGGAGTCTACACTGGGTGGAAAGCGCCGTGCATGGGCCAGGGATGCTCTTTCAAGCCCCTTGCCTGGCCTGCAAAGTGGCCTCCACTCTGCACAGAAGGCTTCACTTGTGGCTTTCCTCACCAAAGTCAGAGTTAGTTTAATCAGGTCTGATGTGGGCAGTTTATAGACTTGACTCAGAAGGTCAAGGTCCTGTAGACGACTTCAAGGGAATGCCTGCCATGGCCTCTCTCTCTGCAGCCATTGCAGGGGAGGTAGGTGAGCAGGGGCTGACAACTGCTTCCGGGGGGCTGCAGCAGGTGTCGGGGCACAAGTCTCTACCTGCACCCCCAGCTGGAGCACTGTCACCCCTGTCCCCGAGGCATGGGCCTGCATCTTGGGCTCTCTCTGGAAAGGCTGCTGAGCCCACCCCAGATGCTCACGCAGATATTCCTGTCTGACTTGGAATGAGGTCGCCATCCCTCCTTGCTTTAGTGGCCAAAGAGCAGTCTAGATGGATGGAAATGACTGTCCCGGCTCTCCGGCCCCCTGCCCACCCACTGGTGGAGGTGCTAACTAGCAGGGACCTGGCGCAGGAGGGGAGCTGGGGCCACGTGTGTGGGGTCTGCTCTTCGTCCCTCGGCCCTTCAGCAGCCAGCCTCTCATGTTCCTGCTCTCCCGTTGCCCTCCTGCCTCCCCAGTGAGGCGGTAGTCAGGGCAGGGCCTGGCCTCCCTCCCTGAAAGGGTGCTCTGAGGACGAGGCCTTGGGGCTGGTGTGCACACCTTGTCCAGCCCCGAGGGCAGCCTGGGAGGGCAGGGAGCACCCCCTGATGGTTTCAAATGCACTTTTCTGCTTGCAATACCATATCTGCATTTCCTTCATCCTGGTCCTGGCTTTATTGAACGCCATGTTTTTAGCATGTTTTTAAATAAAAACTGATAATGTGTCAAAAGCACAAGCAGACTGTCTCTGTGGTGTGTTTGTTCACTCAGTCATGACTGTGACTTCATGTCGTGGACTGTGACTTCATGTCGTGGTTAGTATGAGGGAACAGAGGGGGTCAGGCACCAGTCCTATCGTTTGTCCAAGATTCACACCACAGCAGAACCTTGTCTCCCCTTCTTGGACCCAGGTTCCAGAAATGGGTGTGTGTGTAGGGGAATCCCCTCTGTGGGTGACTGAGTAATCCTAACACCCCCTTTTCTTGGTGACCTTATGCAGGCTTGGTCAGGGGCCAGACCAAGTGTCCCAAGCCCTCTGTGTGAGAGACCAGCTCCCACCTGCGTGCTTGTTGCCTGTCACAGAGCACCAGTCATGTGGGCCAGCCCATATTGCACTGGGGGCGGGGCAAGCACAGAGTCATTCATGGCTTCTTGTTGGGGTAGAGGCTGTCAGTCCCTCTGATTTCCTGGGGTTCATTTGATGTCTCTTCCAGGAGTGGGGACCTTGCGATGTGACTTGCCCAGGCTACAGCCTTGGGTGGCTCTGAGGTGGCCTCAAAGTGGGCACAGAAATACCAAGTCAGTATGAGACGGTTAGCAGGGAGGGAAAGAGGCACTGGAAACCAGGTGAGCCCACTGATTGTGCTTCCTCGCCATAGGAGAAGCCCCCTAGCTTCCTTGGTTGGGTTCTGGTTTGTGGATTTTTCCTCGGCTGCCATAGGCTTGCCACAGTGACAAGCTCAGATGTCATCCTGCCCTGGGCCATTGCTCTACCTGATGTACCAGGCTGGGAGGCTGGGGGCAGGAATGAAGTGTGAATGTGTGGCTGTAGGTGCGATGGTAGCGGGAGGGGCATCCTTAAACCCCAATACGAGTGGAGGTCTGGTTCCCCGCCTCCTCCTCAGGGGAGAGGCCAGCTTGGCAATTGTCCCAGAGCGTCATCCTTTGGGGGCCCATTCTATAGCTGTTGTGTCCCAAAGCCTCCAGGGATTTGCTGAGGATTGAGTCTGAGGCGACCCTCTGTCAAAGGTCCAGCTGGCCTGGGGTCCCTGAGAGCCTCCACAAGGAGATCTGCCCGAGGGGGTCTGGTGGCTGTGGCATCAGTTGGTCATGGCTGAGGGATGGGGGATTCCATCATTCTCTGAGGACCAGCTAATTCTAGGAATGTGGGTGGAAGCCACTTCCTCTCTGCCCGTTCTTGCTCTCACTCCTGTTCCCCAGCCTGAGGACACACCTGGGATGGCCCCCTGGGTCCCTGTGCTGTCTGCTTCTGTGAAATCCATTGGCTCCCAGGGCACTGGAATGCACTGACTGCTCTATTACCACTGGGCTCTGGTCAGGTGAGCTAAGCTGTGAAAGGCAGGCCACCCTGGCTGGGCAGGAGAGGAGATATCCATGTGAGGACAGAACTAGGCATATATTTTCCCTGGGGACTTCTAATGACTAGGCTAGGGCCTTCTGGAATGGGTTCTGGGCTCTCCAGTCCATGGGATGGGGTGACTGAGATGACCCTAAGGGCCCCTCCCTTGCTCCCCCATTCTTGTGTGAGGTGGTGGGAGAGCTGCCTCCGTCGGCACTCAGCAAAGGGCAAGTGAGAAAGGATGGTTTGCGAGCCGCAGCAGAACAGGCTTGGTGGACATACGAGAACTCCCTCAAAACAGCCCATCCAGGGCTTACAGAGACAAGATGTTTATTACTTTAAGACGTCTTGAATACTAAATGGGCCAAGCAGCTTGAACACAGTGGTGAGCAGCCCAGACCCAATCCTGTGCTCACAGACGGGGCCATGGAGGAGTAAATGGGATTGCAGCTCAGTGCTGTGACAGCGATGTCACTGGGAAGGAGAGGCACTGACCCCAACTCAGGGCGGGCCAGGCCTCCTGGGGAGGTGGTGCTGAAGCTGAGAGCTATACACAGGAGGAGTTAGCCTGGCAAAGAGTGGAAGGAGCTATGTCCTGTGGAGGTCACTGGGGCTGGCCTGCAGAGGTGAAGGGATGTCTGGAGAGGGGCAGGCGGCCAGCAGATGACAAGTTGGTGAGCCGGGTCAGCTTTAAGCTAAGAGCAGTAGGAGCTGCTGAGAGGCATGCAGCCCAGTGTGACCGCTCAGATCCGCCCTTGAGAACCGTCCCTCTGGCTGTGGAGTGGAGATTGGTTAGAGGTGACAGGGCGGCTGCAAGGACATCAGGGAGAGGCTGCCCCGGTGATGTACATGAGAGAGATGAAGGAGCCCAAAGGGATGCACCAATGAGACGGGGGAGAAAGAAAAAAAAAAACAGATTGGAGAGACACACAGGAGAAATGACAAACCTTGGTGACTAGACCTATTGTGGGAGAAGGAGCGTTCACGTGGCATGACATCCCTCGCTCTGGACAGGTAGCTGACTAATTGCTTTGCACCAAATGGAGGATGAGTGTGTTTTCTGGGCTCAGTGCTCATGAACAGGAGACAGGCAGAGACCAGCATGGTGTAATTATCTCTCTCCTTTTGTTTGTATTGAGCGTCACGGCTTGCAAAATGCTTTCGTAGACATTATCTAGGTTTCTTCTGACCACACTATGTTATCAGCTGTCAGTGTGCCTGGACTTTCACTGTTAGAGATGTACCAGGTCTGGGTGGGAAGAGCACTGGTTTGGGAGTTGGAGGGCCTGGGTAAATTTCCACTCTGCAGCTGGTGTCCACGTGAGCCTTGTGCAGCCATTGAACTTGGTTTCGTCATCTGCAAAATGAGGATAATACCTATTTTACAGACTTGCTGTGAGGATTACATGAAGGCTTGTATATAAAGATAACCAGCTTGTTCTTGGACCAGGATAGGTGCTTGGCAAGAAAGTGGTCACATCTGGGTTCTCAGGGGTCCCAAAGGAAAACATTCCTCCTGGCTAAAAGCCGGGTCATAGGGGAGTGACCTGGAAGGGGGAGGTGGTGTATCTGGGGAATGCGCTGTCAAAAGGAGATGTGTGGGCGGGCTCGGTGGGCTAGCTTCTCTCATGCCACAGTTGTGCTCTGGGCTGGTCCATAGCAGCACTCAGTAATCCACGGAAGCAAGAGGGAAGTCAGGTTTAATGAATGTCATTTGGGGCACAAAAATATTGGCATTGTAATGGTTCCTTCTTACAGCATTCAGTAAAGATTGGGAGACTATTGATTTAGCCATCTCATTTTGCTGAGTTTAATGACAGCTGTGGAGATGGACTATTACTGTGCCTCCTTAACCTAACAAAAAGAAAAGCAACACTCCACAGGACACACTTGAGCTAGGCTCTCTGACTGAAGCTGGTTTCCCTTCTGGGATCCTAGAGACTGCCAGGCTGCCAGGTAGCGGAGAGCTTCTGGAGCCCACCTGGGACGCCGCCCGGGTCCCCTTGGTGTCCGTTTATGCAGAGGAGAGCGGGTATAGCAAGGTCACATCATGGTCTGTAGCCGGGTCTGGAGGGGAGAGCCTATTGCCCTGAGATTTTTCCTCTGGTGGCTGCAGAGTTCTGGGACCTAGCCACACCCATCATCCAGAGCAGGGCCGATGTAACATGTGGGCAAGACGAGCCCATATTCTGCCACCTAACGGCATCAGGAAGCCCCTTGCCTTGCCCTTTGTCTCCCTCCTCCCACCCTAACTCTTCCCCACTGAATTCCTGCAATACCAATATAGTCTCAATATATTTCTTTTACTCTGTCAAGAGACCCCAGTTCCTGAAGAACTCAGCCTTCTTATTTTACTGGTTGGCAGCTCAGCGAGAGCGTGTTGAATTTGATCTCTGGCCCCCAACTTGGGGTTCTCTAAGCCCCAAGTAGGCTCCATGAACTACTTAGATGTTTGAAAACTCTGGTGGAAACTGTCCATGACCTCTGCATAGAGTGCCCGGGCTAACAGGACAATAACCCTCTTGGCTCTGGCTGGCCTGGCTCTGTCCTCAGTGCAGTGACATGGGTTACACCTGGCTGTGGAAAGGGCCAGATTCAAGCTTTCCTCACTGCCCTCTTCACGGTTGGCCTGAGCCAAAGGATCCCACCCCTGCTCCCCGCCCCCTGCAGCGCCCTCTCCTTCCTGTTCCTCATTGCCAGACAGGGTTTGAGCCAGTGAGAGAAGCAGGAGAAGAAGGGAAGACGGGTTCTCATGGATTTATTTTTAAGAAGACAATAAATGGAATGACCTTGGCTTTTGGCCCCTGCATCTCGCCCACCCCACTGGCAGCCTCTCTATTCTCAGCTGGGTACAGGGAGTGGGAGCCAGAGTGCGACACAGCTTGACACAGCCCACCCTGCTGCAGCTGAAGAGGCATCAGCAGCTGCTGGGAAGTAGTGGCAGCTGACAGGCTAGTGGCAGCCAGAGGGGGACAGCTTCAGCAGAGGCTTCCACTGCCCGCCCCCGACCAGGTCCCCATGGCAGCCCGGGCCATTTAGACAGCATTGGTAGCCACCCACAGCACTGCCCGTGTGCGGCAGGGAGGGGCCTGGAGGGGTGCTTGCCCCTCCTTGGGCACACTTGTGTGCTTGTGCATACACGCACACTCACACTTACACTCAGCGATGGTGGAGGTGAGCAGACATCAGAGCCAGTGAGACAGATGACTGCAGACGTGCCCCAGACTGGGTCATCCCTGGCCTGAGTTCCAAGCCATTGGGGACTGCCACTGTGATTATGCAGTGAATGATCTTCACCAAACAGGCCGGGAGACACAGGAGAGGGGCCAGGGGGTGTAGACCCCCTGCAAGGTGAGCTGCACCTGGGTGGACAGATCTGGGCCTGCTTACACAGCAAGGAAGGAGACCCCCTTCAGATTCACGCCAGTTGGTGGCTCACTCCCAGCCTGCCGTCCCAACCCCCAACCCACCCCAAGTTCCCCTGTCTTGGGATCCCCAGCATCCAGCTTACCCAGGTACTCTTCAGGCCCCCTCATTGACCCACCTCACCTCAAGCAACTTTTCTAGACAGAATAGCGAATGAAATAGAATGGGTGTTTTATGTCATAAAAGGCAAAGCATTTATTTCCTTTTTAGCTCCTCACTGGGCAACCTGGTGCCCTCAGCTCCTCTGAATCCTAAGACTAAAGTCTTTTTGCATTGTGATGAAAAAGTGCCTTACTCTGGTTTGGGATGAGAACAAATTAGTGCTCCAGGTGGGGAGACACTAGCACTCTGGTGGGAGATGGTCTGGGGGGGTCCAAGGAGCAGTAGGGGATGTGTCTCAGCTTGAAACGCTTGGCTGGACCAGATGCCAGAGGGGCCCCTCGCTCCTGACCTCTCCCCACATCCTGCATCGGCTGCAGGCAGCCAGGATGATGCCCACAGCAGGACAAGCAAACCTCAGGCTCATTGACAGAGGCGGGCTGGGCATTATGGTCAGTGGAATGGGAATACTGGCTATCAAGGGCAGAGAACTTTAAGAGGAACACAACTCGGGGGCCGGCCGAGTGGCTCAGTTGGTTAAGAGCTCGCTCAAGAGTTTGAGCTCTGAGCAACAGCAGTTCGAGTCCAGCCCGAGCTGAGCAGCCGCTGAGCTGCCAACAGGTAGCAGGATGGCTCAGCTAAAAAACAAAAAAAAACAAAAAACAAAAAACAAAAAACAAAAAAAAAACAACAACAAAAAAAGAGGAACACAACTCAAGCACGCTTATTTGAGCCTGACTCTCACTGCAGCCCAGAGCTAATAACTCTCATGGGCAGGTGAGGTCAGCGCAAACAATAAATGTGGGAGCTGAGACAAGAAGGGCAAGCAGGACTCCAATCAGCGTGGTCAGTGGGTTCCTAACAGGCCCTCCCCTTCTCCCCCTCCCCATGACTAGAACCCGCCTCAGCGTGTAGAGGGGGTCACAACACATCTGATGAACCGATGGCCTGGGATTTCCCTGTAGAGGAGGAAAAACAGCAACAGAAGGCAGTTCTGGATAGAGTTCCTTTATTATCATGCCCCCTTAGCATATGCGGCTGGGCTTATGTGGTGGCCAGCTGAGGAGGGGCCGTGTTTACAACTAGAGCAACTTCTCTGTATGCAGTAGGTTAAGGCAACTTCTCTGTTTCTAGAATATTGTGACAACCCATATCCCCGGGCCAGCTGGTTCCGGGAGCCCATCTGGCCTCACTAATATTGGGCTGCCTGGAAACACTTGTGGCACTTGCTCTGGGCGTCTCTGGTGTGTAAGCGGGAGGGGGAGGTGCACACGGGAGGCTGTAGGACGGGAGGACAGGGCTGTGCAGTGTGCTGAAAGAGAAGATGGGGCAACAAGAATGGAACGGGGGTCTCCCAAGGCACACAGAAGATGGTGGGAAAATGGGGCTGGACCGTATCCTGTCCCTTCCGGGAAGAGCACCCAGTCACCAGATCTCCCAGCCAAGGTCACAGACCCACTCAGAGCACCCCGCTTTGAATCCCACTCAGAGGGCAGGCCAGGAGCTGCAAGAATGCACAGCAGGAGAGGCACTTCCTGGTGGGCTGTGAACTGCCCAGTGGCACCACGTCACCCCACCCTCTCACAGTGAATGGGGTGGGACCCAAGCTAGACATCCTGAGGGACTTTTGAAACTTAAGGGCTGTGATATACAAAGGAAGGGGACAAAGTTTCCTCCTTTGTGTTGTGGTCTAAAGCAGGGGTTCTCGAAGTGTGGTTCCAGGGCCAGCAGCATGAACATCACCTGGGAACTCACTAGAAATGCAAATCCTTGGCCTTACCCTTCCGATCTGAAGCGTGGGGGAGGGGCTCAGCTATCTGTGTTAAAAAGCCCTTCAGTGATCCTGATGATGCTCAAGTTTGAGAGCTTCTGGTTTAGACCTTGGCAGATGTGAGCGCCACCCAGTGGTGACACAGAAAACGGGGCGAGGGAGGGCGTTCTCCTTAGTCAATCAAACCACCTCCCCCTTCTCCTCCATTTCTGGCCCCAGGCCCAAAGTGACCAGGAGGCTGAGAATGTTTTCAAGGTCAATACTAGGATGGGTGGTGATGAAAGGAACTGGTTTTTTTTTTTTAAAGATTTTATTGGGAAATTGGGGGAGGGGAACAGCATTGGAGAATTGGGGAAGGGGAACAGATAAGTTGTTCTTTATTCTAATTGTGGAGGACGTCGCTTCACTGGCCCATGTTGGTGTTATCATTGCGCTCTTCCTGGGTGAGTCAGTTGCTTGCCGACCATTGGACGGCAGATCACGGCGGCTCACAGCAGCTCACGGCGCTTACAGGAGCTCACTGCAGCCCCGCTGCAGCCTACACCGTAGCTGGTGACTCATCTCAGCCCAGTTCCAGGTCGAGCTGTTGTTCACCATCTTAGCTGTAGAGGGTGCAGCGTCACTGGCCCTCATGTGGGATCTGAACCAGGGCCCCGCTGCTCAGAGCTGGTGCTCCCAAGCCTACTCTTAACAACACGCCACTCGGCCGGCCCGAAGGGAACTGTTTTAATTCACTTCCTGTACCTCAAAACCCTGAAGATGGACCCGGAGTGGTAGACTCTAAGACCAAAACTGGCTGTAGGGCATGAGGGTCCTGGCATATCGCCCCACCCCTCCTCAGTGCCAGGCCTGTGGTCCTGCACAGGTGGGCGGCCTGATGAAATCCCAGGCCCAAGGCCGAGCTCACACTGTGCCTACCCAGAACCCCAGCGTCAGCAGCTGAGGGGAGGGAAGGAGGGCAGGCGGTGGGCATCACCACCCAGAGCCCCTCCAACCTGCCCAAGGTGGCTCTGTGAGTGCATGAGGCCTCATGGGGCAGGGAGAGGTGCTCCCTGCTCTCT